TCTAAAGTATGAACTGGTGGGCATTCCAAAGGAATTTTAAATTTTTTTGACTTTTCATTTTTCCATTTCAGCTATTTAGACATAAAACCTAATTGTTAAAGGGACACTATAGTCACCTGAACAACTTTAGCTTAATGAAGCAGTTTTGGTGTATAGAACATGCCCCTGTAGCCTCACTGCTCAATACTATTTAGGAGTTAAATCCCTTTGTTTATGAACCCTAGTCACACCTCCCTGCATGTGACTGGCACAGCCTTCCATAAACACTTCCTGTAAAGAGAGCCCCTATTTAGGCTTTCTTTATTGCACGTTCTGTTTAATTAAGATTTTCTTATCCCCTGCTATGTTAATAGCTTGCTAGACCCTGCAAGAGCCTCCTTTTTAATGCAGGCTTTGTCAATCATAGCCAGGGTAGGTGTGGCTAGGGCTGCATAAGCAGAAACAAAGTGATTTAACTCTTAAATGACAGTTTATAAAAACTGCAATAATTACACTTGCAGGGTTAAGGTTAGTGGGAGTTGGCACCCAGACCACTCCAATGGGCAGAAGTGGTCTGGGTGCCTGAAGTGTCCCTTTAAGGACGGGGGCAATTGTCTCATTAAACCCATGTACAGGTTTTATGGGGTTTAGTAGAGTTACTGGATCAAATATAGGGCTTACAAATTAAAATCTCTGGTATTTCTGCCTGGGGTGTCAAGCAGGTCCTCCAATATATAAAATAATTATATATAAATACACTTAGAATTAAATTATATAATTCAATTTCATTCTAAGTGTGTGATATGCATTATTTACATATAATTAGCCTGTTTTATTAATTATGTGTTGGGGGATCTACCCGACAACCCAGCCAGTCCCCCTGCAGCCAATCTTACAATCCAAGTCATGTGATCGCAGTGTCTGGGACTGCCTTGGTTGTCAGACCCAATAGGATCCAGCGAGTATAATTCGGGAGAACTTCACTGACACTAAGGTTCGAATGTTTCATTACGCCCTAACGTCATTAAGACCATGCCGTTCAAAGCGTAATGACATGTCCAAACATTAGAATCAGGTTAACAGAGCAGAAGATAAAAAATTTCTAAAGCAAACACACCTTACTGATTGGAAATTAAATAATTTTTCTTTCCATATTGTGTAGCAGTTTTGGTTGCTGTGTCTACTATTTACAGTTTCCAAAGGTTTGAGCTTTAAAACCATACCGCGTCCCAAAATTCTCAATGGTCTGAAATGAAGCCTGGGCTCCCTCCAATCATTTCACATTATGTTTAGTGCGTGATGAATTAATCTTGGAATGCCAACTACTCCTATTAAAGGAACACTCCAAGCACTTGCTGAAGTTTTTATGGTTGATTGGTTTTACTTTTTAACTGTGGTCTGCCTAGAACCTTTCCCTGCCTCCACTACTATCTCCAGAGAGACGGAAGTTACTCAGCAGGGCTTATCTTATGGACTATGAGAGATTAGTTGCAGAGTATCTTTAGGAGTTATTAGTGGAGACAGGGAGCAGTGCCTGGTCTAATCCAGGTAAGAAATAGCTGCGGGCATTCACATTTACCATCCTGGATTTTTCTCCTTAACAATGCTGCTAATGTAGATCTATAACGCATCCTGAATACAGCTATACCACAATCACCAGGATAGATCGACAGATTTACATAAAATTCTGAGCCTGCCACCTGCATATTGCTCAACATTTGTAATTTTAAGAAACAAAATAAATAAAATAACGGAGAAAAATAAACTTGTAAAAAATATATATGTATACACTTAATTTGGCAATAAAAACATTTGATCCACAAATAATCAAGATTGGCCAGGTAACACTAGAATACAAAATGTCTATAATCAGTATTAACAACCAAAACTACAACTCAGATGGGTTACAGTCTTTGGTATTTGTGATTGTTTTCTCTTAACCCCTTAAGGACACATGACATGAGTGACATGTCATGATTCCCTTTTATTCCAGAAGTTTGGTCCTTAAGGGGTTAAAGGTGGTCAGATGCTATTTGCTGTTCAGTAATTAACGTGCTTGGTCCCCAGAATTTGAAAATACTAAGCAGTCAGTCCCATTTCAGAAGAATAAAATACATTAATGGAATAAACATAAACAAATGTATTTTTTTCATATTAATGGAACACTCCACTGCCCAAATGGGCAAAAAAAAAGAAAAAAAAAGAAATCCATTGCTTAGTAGATCTACCCCCAATGAACACATGTATTCATTGGTGGTATATCTAAAAAGAGCTTGCAAAGGCTGCAGATCTTATGAACTGCTGCCTTAGCAAGCCTTCCCATTTTATTCCTGGAAGAGAGACTTTCAGTCTCTTCACAGGGAAACGACTGGGTCCCACATGCACGTGGGCACGTCTGGTCTGAGGTCTAAATGGGAGGAGGCAGGCACCCTCAAATAGTGTGTGCTGCCACTGCAGTTATCTCAGGGGAGCCAACAAAAGGAGGCTGTAAACCTCTATAGCTTTTTGACGGCCAGGGAGGTGTTCCCTAGTTACTTTATAAAAGTGCTGATTTCTCATAGAAATGTTCACTTTTATAAACTAGTAAAATTAGGAAGCTGAGGTGCTTTTAGGATGAGGAACTGTCCATTAACTCCATGGTTGACTCCTGTGAGTAAACACAGTGGGGTTTATTCAATATACACAGAACTGTAATGAAATGCATAATTCAGGCAAAAACACCAGATCTGGAAAAATTCCCCAACTCAGCTCAAAGTGGCATTGTAATAAACTGAACATAGAATTGGGAGTTGAAGGGTTACTTCAATGACCACTTCAGTGATTTGAAGTGATCTTGATGCTTAGTGTTTGTATATGCAACATTTCAGTTACAAACCGTGCAGATACAGAGTTAAAGATCTTTGCTGCACCTCCAGCAGTGTCATTAGCTAGAATGTAATGAAAATTCCAGGCTGGCTAATATTAGTTCAGTGTATATTTGGCATCTGTTGTCAGTACACATACCATGCTGGTGACAGATAACCAATAGCTGCATGACCAAACCACTTACCCTACCCATGCCAACCAAATTCCTCCCCATCAGTGAGGGGGAGTAACCTCACTGGAAAAGGATCGAGTGCCTCTGTGTGGGATCTAAGGTAAGTTTTTTTTTTTTTTTGTTATTTTATTAAACCACTGTTCTGGGTTGGAGTAACCCTATGAAGCAGAGTTTCCCAAACCAGTCATCAAGATCTACCAACAGTCCATGTTTTGTCAGTATCTCCATTGGAATAAAACAGGGAAATACATAAATTCTGGCTTGTTGATGGGCCATGAGGACTGGTTAAGGAATCACTATTTAAAGAGTTACTCCAACCACCTTGAACTCTTTGGTGATTTGAAGTGGTCATGGTGGTAGGAGTTTGGATGTGCAGTGTTTCACACTAACGCACTATTGGCATGCAGTGCGTGCTGACGACAAACGTAATTGATACACAGAATTGACATTAGGAAGCCTGGGGTGCAACTTGTCCCCAACACACAATTAAAAATATCTCTGGATGCGCAGTGTTTGGAAAACCTTTAAAAGTAATTTCTGTATGTGCAGTGTTTGTGCTGAAAACAAAGCTATTATTGGCATTTGTGCGCCGGGGCCATTTACATCTTTGTTCCAGACTGCCTAATGGGTATTCTGTGTGTGTGTTTTAGGTCTTTCGTCAGCACACACACTGCACTCCCTGTGATGATAGGTCTAATTTGACAGTCAGGCAAATTAAATCAGAATTGCCAAACTGAGGCTAAAAAAACAAAAAACAAAAAAAGTCAAATTCACTATAGCCAAGACAGAATTTCTCCAACTCAGCCGTTCAATCCTCAATTTTGAAACTTGAATTTAATTGATTAAAATGCAAGTGAATAATGGTATTTAATGCCCACCTGTTATTTTTGGAAAAATTCTAACAATTTACTAAGGGGTTTAAAAAAATAAAATTTTTAAAAAAATAAATAAAAATAAAATAAAATTAGATTTGTCAGATGAACTGACATTTTGATATGTTGAATAAAATATTTAGTTTTACTTTACAATCTGCATACATACTCAAATGTGTTCACCGAGCTATGTCCCATGGTGATATAATCATGGTTGATACTGTGAGTACAAAATTGATCTTTACCAGATGTCATCCTGTTTTGAACTGTATGAAATCTATTTTGTGCCGGCATGGACATAACTATTTCTATACTGAAGAACTGCTTCTGAAATCGTTACAGATGTCATTAAAATAGGAGTGTTTGTGTGTGTGTAGATGCGTGTGGGACGGGCAATCACCTGCATGATTGAAAACCAAGGGGTGTAACAATTTTTATAAAATTTTACCATGAAAATATTAGGGCAAACATTTCAGCACTAGGCCTTACAAATTACCAGTTGCCATTATGACTATTAGCATGAAATTAAGGGGGTATGCTTCAAGGGTGCTTGTACAACCACATGTCTAGTCATCAACGGTTGGTCTTCTATAACAGAGCTCTTGATTTATTAGCTGCAGGATTTGCTCCTTGTAAGAGGCAGTGACAGTTGCTGCCTCAAAGGGACACTATAGGCACCCAGACCACTTTAGCTCACCAAAGGGGTCTGTGTGCAGATATATAATAAACTGCAATAAGTTACCTTTGAGGGTTAACTCCACTTCTAGTGGCTGCCTACCAGAGAGCCACTATAGGGCCTTTCGGGTTGTTGTTTCGCTATGCATGAGGGCATCCAGCGTCACCCGAAACCCAATAGTAAAGCATTGAGTAATGCTTTCCTATGGGGAAAGTCCCAATGTAAGCGTGGACAAGTCAAACGAGGAGAGGAGCGGAGACGGAGCCTGAACCAGCACTGAGGGAGATCAACGCTGGACTCAGGTAAGTGTCAGAACAGGGTTGTTTTTAAGTAGCTCTTGGCTTCATTAGAAGTATCAAAAATGGTGGGAGCAACATCACTTATATGCTACACCAATTAAAGTGTACAATTCAGAGACAACCACACAAAACAAAACTATGTTGGCAAAAGAAGTTATGTTTATTTACAAATACATGTAGCCAAATTCAAATAAAATTACCTTTAAGAAACAGTTTAACAAAAAGCAATGATTTATTGGTAATTTTGATGAATGAAACATTAACGTTCTAGGTTAAAGTACTATGTTCTGGTGACTGAAGATCCAGTTTCTTGCATGGATTTCCCATCCAGTGTCTTCCATGTGGTCAGTGGCTCTCTCCTTTCTTCCCTACAACCTGAGGGTAAAGATTAACATATTACAACAACTAATAATATACAAGTGGAGACAGAAGGAATATTTGCCTATTCTGCAGTGTAACATAGTGCCTCTGTAGCCTCATCCAATCAATTAGCAGCAGTTGTTGACATGGCAATAGTCAATTGGGATGTTTTTCTATGAAATATGTAACAGAGTATGCGATTAGTAACCCATTATCAATTCTGTATAAAGCAAAGTTAAACATTGGGGTTAATGGTGCATGTGTTACATTTCAGAACATACCTATAACAAGGCTCAAAGGCTCACTAGCAAGTGAAAATTCTGACTTGGAAAATGTGTCACAGACAACCACTGCTTGTGAGGATTCTTAGTGCGGTTTGAAAGCCGCAGTTTATTTACAGTGGCTGCACTGACTACATACACACCCATCAAGAGTGCATTTAAACAAAAAAAAAAAAAAAAAAGTGGTACAGACAAAGAGATTGCAAACATGTAACCTAAAGCCCTTATTAACCCTTTGCAGTCCTATGTCAGAAAATATCCAACAAAACATTTTACCTCTTGCGGTCCAATGTTAGATTTTCCCTGGAACCTACCGCTGATCCCCCATGCAAGGACCTCCCAGCCTGTGTGCATTGCGCACATTTGTGGCATTCGGGGCACTCTCCAGAAAAAAATCCGACATTGACCATAAGAGGTAAAATATTCTGTTACATATATTGAACTCAAACACCTTGCAGAGATTACTTGAAACAACAAAAATGGCCCACTACATCCCAGATCAGCTTGTAAAATGGAAATCTCTCTTTTTGGCAATTCTTCAACATGAAATGCTGCACATACAGACTACTTGCATCAAGAGAACTTCTAAAAGCGGAAATGATCATGGTGGTTGACTTTAAATCACTCCAGCAATATAAATAAATATAGAGGTCACATTAAAAGAGAAGGCTTCCTTTGCAGCAACAAGTAACAAACTACTGGCCCAGATAGTATCATAGGACTTGAAGTTTTGAGCCCTGCCTAGAACATGCAATTTGAAAAGCAGATAAGATCTAGGTTTAATAATGAAAAAGATCTCTAAGCAAAACCTTATAACGCATACCCGTTTGAAGTCATTCATATTTGTGGCTTGTACTGGAGTCCCAATGAAAGTGAAGTATGCGATTCTTGTTGTCTCCTCGTCACCCTGATTGGACTGGACAAATAGCTGAAAGAAAAATGATTAACGGCTAGTTTAGTAGACACTGGGGGATAGGGATGATAAATCTAGTGTGAACGCACGTTTGTGGGATCAGGTGGCCAAGCAATAAAAAAAACATAATTTAATTAGTTCAAATAGAAATTAGCCTAACAAATTTCACAGATTTCACAAATTGAAACTGTCCTACCAATGTCATTTCAGCCCTGCCACCTGTGAGCTACTAATAGGAATGGCTTATATGAAGTAACTGGAGAAGAACAGTATCTATAACACGGTTTTAAATGAAAGATGCTCGAAATTAGCCAAAGCAACCAGATACTTTATAAAGTTTGGTTCTTTTTCCTTACAATATGAGAGGGTTAATCTTCATATTGTTAGCACATACAATAAAAGGATAAACTCAGTTAGCAGAGAGATCTTCAATATAGCTAACACCCTTACTCAGTACACAGAGATATCAGAAATTCAGTCAACACCTCAGTTACTGGGTAATTAAATAATATTTGAATTGCAGGGAGTTTAAACCTAAAAAGTAAAATTTGTGCTAAAATAGATGATTTTGAGAAATCCATAGGTTTCATAATTTAGCCAGACTTCAAATTGTATATGAAATAAACCCCTCGGTTAAAAAAAAATAAAATATATATATATATATATATATATATATATATATATATATATATATATATATATATATATATATATATATATATATATATATATATATATATATATAAAATTCTAATTTGCAACTCATGCAGTGGTCATGGTTCTCCAGCCTGCATCTCAAAGTGGCTTCTGCGGGACTTATAAACTTTGCACATCATGTAGGAATATGCTATATATACATAGCAACTCATACAGTGGTGGGTGTGGGCATTGTGTGTTAGAACCTCCAGTAACAGGATATATTAAGCAGAATGAGCAGGGGTGGCATCATGAAAAGAGTATTCCTGGAATCAAGATAAAAAGTAAAAAACACTCAATATGCATCTCAAATGGCATGGTGACAATCTGAAAGTAAAAATAACAAGGGAAAAGGCATACAATCGTATAAATCAGCAGTGAGTCGGATTCATTCTGAAACACACTGACACTATAAGCCTTTGTTATGACCTATATTTGTGTTATTTGAAAGAGTGCGTCAGGTTCTGTTTTCAAGTATTTATTTGTGCTCCTTTATCACAAGCACTGACTGAATGTATTCATTAAATCAACTTTGGTTTACTAACATATACAACATTAGTGTTTACCTATTATGTTTATTTTTTGAGAAGCTTACTATTAAAATTGATAGCCTTGACAGGAGTGTACACCTATTGCTGAGCAGTGTTAACAAGCACTCTTTAACCAGGATAGTTTACTGTATGTAAGGTAAAACCTATAATGTATATATTTGTACTTACTGTTACACTGTTGACATTTTGGAACTTAACATAGCGCAGCTGAATAAGGCTATCCTCTTTGATGTCATCGGGGGATAATTCAAGTGCTTGGGTAGCTTCACTTCTCATTGCTTCATCAAAATCAATAGATCGGGGCAGGTTTATGAATATTTTAACATATTTTGGACCTTGACCTGAAAACAGAATTGAAAAAAAATGATCACTCTGAAGTGCATGTTATTCAAACATTGTCAACAATGAGAGGAGTGGTAAAAAATAAGAAAACGTCAAGAAATTAAGTCTGCTTGAAATTTCACAATCAAAAAGTGCAAATACACCAATGCATTCTGAGCATAGGGTCACTTGTATGCATTAAAGGAAAGCACAAGGATCATAAGAACTTCTAACCCTTGCAAAGGTCGCATTACAAGCAGCTCCCAACCCACAACCCTCACCATTATCAAATATATCTGAAACTTTTTCTAACAACTGCAGGTTTCAGCTCAACCTCGGTTGATATGCGATAGCGATGCCTGCAGAGGATCAAGTGAGTTATACAGTTTCACCAATATATAATAAAAAAAAAATCAAAAAAATCAGCTTGGAACAGCATAACATGTTAGAAAACTGAAAATGTGCACTGATTGATGACCATCAATGTCTACCATCCAGTGGTAGCAGGTCCTCCATTTAGGAATATTTCTCACTGCCTGAATGAAGTTAATGGAAGTTAAAATCTGGTGACAGGAACATCAAATTATTTTGGTTTCTCCATTATGCCCCATATCTTAAATATAAATTATATACACTGATTAATCCAACTCTTCTGGAAGAGAATTCCAAATCCTTATTGTTCTTACAGTAAAGAACTCTTCCATTTGCTTTAGACTAAATCTCCTTTCTTAAAGTCTAAATGAGTGACATTGTGTCCTATGTATAGTCCTGTTTATAAATAGATTTCCAGACAATGGTTTGTATTGGCCCTGAATACATTTATATTATGCCCAAATATCCCCACTAAACTAAACAAATGTAAACTTGTTAGCCATTCATCATAATTAAATTCTTCCATTCCCCTTATTAATTTATAGCCCTTTTTCTAGTGCCATAATATCCTTCTTTAGAACAGGTGCCCAAAATTGCATTACATATTTAGAGTGTGGTCTTAACACTAATTTATGTAGTCTTCCTTTGTTGTAGTTATCTACAATAGTTTAGGCATTTACCTCAAGTAAGATAAGATAATGCCATAAAATGAGAAAACATCGACTGGTAATTTTGAAACATGCACTGGTTAATCATGTGCTGGGTCAAGAAATTCCAAGAACCACAGCACACACACAAAACAACAAACGCCACAGTAAAAATAAGCTTACCATTATCTGGGCCATGAAGCTTCATAGAATACAGCTTAACTGGCTGGTTAAAAGCTACAGTAATCAGGAGCTGTGGGAAAAACAAAAAAAGCATTGGGAGATTAAAAAAACATTTTATTTTTCAGTCAGAGAACAAATCATGTAAACAAACAACAACAAAAAAACGGAAATGTGAAAGACTTGAAAGTGCAAAACAAGGAATTTAGTGTATGCCCGTCATTACGTTGCATCAGTTGAAATAGGGAGGACAAAGGAAAATTCAAGGAGCCAAGAACTTCCTTACACCCTTTTGCCAACATAAAGTGTGAGGAAGTTGAAACATCTGTCCATATATGGGGGACATGGTAGCCAGCAAAAAATGAGAAAATAGACAGGGAATAGCATATTTAGACATCAGTGGTACCCACAAGGCTGTTTTTAATAAATATAAGTTTTTAATAAATATAATATTTTTTTCTTTGATCAAGTAGATTTTAATTAATGGCATTTAATTGCTTTGTTTCAAGACAATATTTCTTCATTTATTCATCAGTATGGGCACACTAAGCTTCTACAAAAGCAAGACCAAACGTTCTAGAGATTTTTAATCAAAGGGCAACACCCATGGCCATTAAACCTGGGTTATCTTAAAAGGCTTAGTGGAACAGATTTACAGAGTCAAAATGCCCCATTTCTGAACTAGTTTGGATGCAAACATATGTTACTGTGTGGGATCAAACTGCTTTCATACACAAGTTGTTGGCCGATATGAATTTCTTAAAGGAATACTAAGCACTAAAACCCCTACACCTTAATGTCATGGGTTTGCTGCCAAGACTATGTCCCCGCAATCTAAAAATAAATAAAATAATGTAAGCAGTGTCGTTTCAGCAAAACGGTACAGTTTACAATTGGAATTCAGTATGCCTTTACTGGCAGTCAGACAACCTCTAGAGGCACTTCCTCATGAAAACTTTCAATACTGAAAGTATTTTTTGCATCACCCAACACCTTCAATGGGGGAGGAGAAAGTTTAGCATTGCTTTACTATTTATTTTTTTTAAATACACTAACAGGGAGGCCCAATAAATCAGGACCTTTTTACGAAACGTATAACAAATCATATTGTAACAGAAATGCCGCTTTCATTAATAATATTTTAAAAAGATACTCAAAAGGTGACAGAATCTCTTTAGGATGATTAGAAGAAGCTTTAAGGAATGAAAAAGCTGACTTTAAACTATTTTTTTTTTATATTTAAAGGGATTCCCAATATAGATCAGTAGTGTGGATACATGCCAAGATTTACACTAATGAGATCACATCCACAACTTTCAAGGCAATAGAGAAGATTGACTCCTTATGGAATGAGATAAGCTGCTTTGCCAACCTGTTCATCACAGTCCGATTCGAGGTATGTAGGATCTTTCCGTAAGCAGTTTTCGAAGCCATTGTCGTCGCTTTCATTAAGACATTCACAGCCAGTTTTGCTCACAAATGGCATTAAATCCATCTGCAACGAATAGTTCATTTAAGCCAGACAAATTACAACAGGTTACTGAATACAACAAATATGCTGAATACAATATGACCTTGTGTAACAATACACTTACAATGGGTCTGCATCACATTACTGCAACATTATTATTAGAATTTATACAATGTCAACATATTCCACAGCACTTCACAGTTATGTAAAAACGATATTTAAAAGTGAAGAATGCTGAGCAAACAAACTGACAATCTAGGAGTATCTGACGTAGACAGGTCTATATAGTTAGACGTCTTGCCTAAGGACATTTACTGGTGAGGTGGTCTTCTAAGGCTACCACTGCTCTAAATAGCTAATACTAGACTTTAACCCTTTTTGTAGTCTTTAACTTTATGCACCCCCCCTCCCCCCATACTCGCTATAGTTCACTTTCCACATTCACTATATCAATTTAATCCGTATTTAGAGAGCACTGACTGGCTGGGCACAGCCCTTGACACGTATTAACAATTCTAGCAAACGTGGCAGAGCTGTGGGTAAATATTAGAAAAATCATGTAAAAACAAGCAAACATATCATTATGACTGGCATAAGTGTAAAAGTGATCATTTTGCATGCACAAAAACAAGCAATGAAGATACCGTATGTGCTCATTAATATTTTTTTTAAAGAAAATATTTGCAATAGGAATGTACAAATTTCCAGAAAGTGTAAACATGAGTTCCTGCCGATCACAGAAGGATGCCACATCAGCCAGATTATTATGGTATAACTAAACTACAATATATTCATTATCAACCATAGGATAATTGAATGTGTACAAGTTATCTAAATGCCATCAACAGACATAAAGGACCCCATACCAATAAAACAAAGCTCATACATACATAGCCTTTTGGAATATCTGTGTCTTCATTGCTTCCTTGATCATTTTCTAAGTGTTGTTTTATTTTTTCTTCTAAGCCAGCAGCATCTGCTCCTTGATAGTGATCAATTTTTACTTTATTTCGGAAGAATAAAAACGTGGGTGTTGCAGATATATTGTTGGCGGCAGCTGTGGCCTGAAATGTAAATGAAAGTCAATAGACGTTGTGGAGAAACCAATGTACTATACAAACTGTGAGGATATAAAGCCCAATAAGTTGTAGTTGTGATCTTGTACAAATTAGTTTAATGCAATACTACGTACAAATGTATAGATAGCATTTAATGTGCTTTTATTTTACTAGATCTTTAGACCTGACTGTCTAGAATACCACAAAGTCCATACAAGATTGCCTCTCGGCTGTAAACACAAGGCACGAGAGAATAAGAAATATATTCGTATGATGAACTTGGTACCACAAATCTGCTGATAAATCCACTTTGATTTAATTACATGATTATATCTTTATATTATTTTATTTTTTATTTATTTATAAAAAAAAAAAAAAATTTACCAGGAAAGATACATTGAGATTTCTCTCGTTTCCAAGTATGTCCTGGGTCCACAAATCATTGCATTGTTACATTAGGATACAATAAAATACAAAAACAATATTAATACACAATAAATACAAAATTTAACATAGAACAGGTAGGAAATATATAATCAACCATAACACGTGCATTCTGTTTTGAGATATGTAGAAAGGGATCTCTTAAAAGGACATTAGGCTTGGGGAAGAATTTAAATTGTGCGGGATGTAGTTCCATAATTGCGGCGCTCTGTAGGAGGAGGAGGATCGGGCTGCTTTCTTTTTGTATTGAGGTAGACTAAGTAAAGTGTTGGTACTGGATCGGAGGTTATAGGAAGTGGGAACAGCTGGGGAAAGCATTTTGTTCAGGTAGGGTGGGAGTTTCCCAGAAAAGCTCTTAAACACAAGGCTGTAAAGATGAAGGGTGCGCCTGGATTCCAGCGACAGCCAGTTTAGTTCTTTTAGCATGTCACAATGGTGAGTCCTGTAATTACATTGTAGCACAAATCGGCAGAACGAGTTATACAATGTATTGAGTTTATTAATGTGGGATTGCGGTGCAGATGCATATACTACAGCCCCATAATCAATGATTGGCATCAGCATTTGCTGTATAATCTTTTCCTTTACTGTAGGGCTTAGGCAGGATTTGTTCCTGTACAGGGCACCTAGTTTTGGATAAAGTTTAGATACAAGCTTTTCTATGTGTTGTCCAAAAGATAGATTGGGGTCTAGCATCATACCCAAGTATTTGAAAGAGAGGACTGCGGTCAGTGTGCCATTTGAATTTGTTTTGATGGATAGGTGGGAATTGTGTAATATGTGTAATTTACTGTTCCAAAGATCATTGTGACAGTTTTGTCAGTGTTCAGGGTTTGTTTTTTGTGATCCACTTTTCTACTTCTGTAAACTGGTCTTGGAGCACAGCCTCAAGCTGTGGTACATTGGATTTGCACGCATAGATTACTGTGTCACCTGCGTACATGTGTACATTTGAGGATTTGCAGACATTAGGCAGATCATTTATGAATAATGTAAATAGTAGGGGGTCGAGAATGGAATCTTGGGGAACACCACACGTGACTGGGAGAGGGAGTTGCGGTCAGAAATGGTCACATATTGTGAGCGATCCGATACATACGATCGAAACCAGGTTACGAATGACCTGAGTTTTTGAGTTTGTGCAGTAGAATGTCGTGGTCTACTGTGTCAAAGGCCTTAGCAAAATCAAGGAAAATAGCTCCAGTTAGGGCTCCTTGTTCCATGCCAGTTTGGATGTCATTGCAAACTTTTAAGAGGGCAGTTGTAGTGGAGTGATTTTGGCGAAAGCCCGATTGATCAGGGATCAGATAGTTTGATTGTTGGTAGTACTCACATAGTTGCGTATGGACACATTTTTCTAAGATTTTTGACAATACCAGCAATGATATTGGGCGATAGTTAGAAACCAAAGTAGTGTCACCACTTTTATGGACAGGCACTACTCTCGCAGTCTTCCAAAGTTTGGGTATGTATCCAGACACCAAGGATTCATTAATTAGGGTTGCGACGGGTTTAGCAATTGCCGGCGCACTAAGCTTCAACAACATTGCTGGGATTTGATTAGGTCCAGACTGGTTTTTAATTTTTAGATTATTTAGGTGTTTTTTAATGACACTAATAGGTACAAGTCTAAAAGTGAACTTGTCTATATTGGGTCTTTGCAAATTTAGTGGTGCTTGATCCACATCTGTAGTTTCAGCATGCGTGTCATTTATTAGCTTGACAATCAGGGCAGTAGAGCATCCGACAGAATAATTGTTAAAGGCATTTGGTACATCTAGGGGAAGCTGCAGGGTTTGGTTATCCACTTTGACAGTGGAGGGTTCGGAGTGGATTGGGGGAGTTTGTAATTTATTTATGACTTTCCAAAAGTTTCTAGGGTTTGATAGGTTATTGTTCAGATTTTCACAGAAATATTGGGCCTTGGCCAATTTTGTTTGTTTTGTGCATATATTTCGCCATTGTCTATATGCACAGTGATCATTCATAGAGCCAGTACGCTTGAACTTGGACCACAAAGAATCCCGAAACTGGTACATCTGGATGAGGTAAGCTGTGATCCAGTTCATATGTGCTCCTTTTACCCTCACCTTACCCAGCGGGGCATGCAAATTCCAAATTTGTAGGAGTTCAGACTGAAAGAATTCAACAGCAAAGTCTAGATCTGGGATAATGTTTAATCTGTGCCATGGGAGGTTCTTGATGTCATTAAGAAAGGATTCAAGATTACATTTTTTGAAGGACTTGGTGATTTTAACCTTGCGTGAGGATTTAGTAGCCTTTATTTTGGCACCCAGTACACTAAACAGTGATCACTGTTAACATATCTGTCCAATTTTCCTTTCCTTGCAAGCGCTCATTTCCATTTCTGAGTGTCCATGGAACATGGTGATGACCTAATAAAGTTATTAAAATTGCATCAATAGCAATGACTTTGTAATGATAATGAACTCTTACCTACCTACCTTTGTGTTGTGTGCATATAGCAGGGCTCGACAAATCCCAGGCGCCAGGTAGACTAAGAATTTTGCCCAGGCGCCTGGGATCGGTCAGCCCATTCACGCCTCCCCCCATTTCAATTTCGTGTAGCCAGGCCAACCAATCTAATGCCTGGACCCCAGGGAAGCCACTCTCATGCGCCCAAAAGGTAGGAAACAGGAGAGTGGCTAAAAATATGTATACACTTTTTCTTTTTTCTGTGCATTAAAGCAATGCATCTCTATGGGGAACGTTCAGCTCCGCCTCCATGCTAAATGTAGGCAGGAGACACTTTAGTGGCCGTTTGAGTGACTGCCACTAGAGGTGTTACAAGGCAGCAAGGTAAACACTGCCTTTTCTCTTAAAAAGCAGAGCTTACATTGAAAAACCTACAGGGACAGGTTATAGACACCAGAGTCACTAAATGAAGCTGTAATGTTTCTGGTGACTATAGGGTCCCTTTAAGAATCGTATTTTTGACATTGAAAAAAAACTGGCTCCTATATTTTTTATATTTGTGAATCAAGAAGAATAAATCTGTTTTCATAACAAAAGATGAGAACGTCTGTTAATGTTATACTTTTATGTGACACAGAAGAACAAAAGTATGTATTATACCAAGCGAGCATACTTTACCAGAAAGAGAACTATAAAATCATATATAGCAAGTATTATTGTTTTAACTTTTCTTATTCTACACACAGCTGGTTTAGGTTACAGAATGCAACTTCAGGAAAGTAGTGGAATTAACTCGCAACTTACCAGGACATGAGAGAAACCATTTTCTATAGACTTTGCCTTCTATCAATCATAGTTGATGTTTCTGCTACCCAGAACATTTTTTTTAATCTGGTAAACCTCCAAAAAGTAAGGGGTTAATTGGAAACAAATTTCAACATCCCAAGGAACAGTTCTGTTCTATTTATCAGATCTGATAAGCAGAACGTCTGGATATACTGGTAGCAAAAATGTGAATGCGATCAGACTACTGGCAGCTTGTTCCCAATATTGAGAATAAGAGATACTGCAACGTTTGCCCAAGATGTGCCAATCGAATATCTCACAGCTTGGGGTCTCAAGAGAGTCAGACAAAAGAGATGGGGATTTGAGCTGCATGTGCCCATGAGAGGTGCACACCCTGTAAAACATTTGCATAAACAAAACAGGAAGTATAGTTTTCTCCTTTTACATCACAAGGAAAAGGGCATACTTATTGCTGCAACAATATGCAGTTATAGGAAACTACCTGAAAGGAGAAAGGGAAGAGACTTGGACCAGTTATATGCAGTTATAGGAAACTACCTGAAAGGAGAAAGGGAAGAGACTTGGACCACTGACCAGAGGTTGTTATGGTGCTTGGAGTGTGCCTCTAAGTGACAAAAGTCAGTTTGACAAGCTACTTACTTGGCACTGGTGGACATCAACTTCCAAAAATACCGCTTGGGGGTATTTATTACTTAGAGATGTAAAGGCTGGTGCTATTCTCACACAAGGAGCACACCTATAAACAAAGAGAAGGATCAATTAGCTCTAGGCTTATAAAGCCCCATGCACCATAATTCCAACAACATTTTTAAAAGGTATACTGACACTTTCAGCCAATGAGCAAGATCAAAAGTTGAAATATTAATAAACGTATGAAAATCGTTGCAGACCAGTCTTCACGGCGTGCCTCCGAGCAAAGTAAGCGTGCTGTAGTGTTTTTGGTGCTTCTGTAGGGTTTCTTGGAATATGCCAAATTCCAGCATTTTGTCAAACACTGCACTTTTCACTATCTGCAGATAGCCATCATCAAACCAGGGTTAACTTGAACAATCACAACAATTTTTGAACAGTTTGACTTCCTACTTGGGGTCCACCAAGTCAGGTCCTGCTCCCCACATTTTACTACCTCAGAGGGCTAAAACAACTTAAGCTTAAAGGGATACTATAGTGCCAGGAATACAAAATTGTATTCCTGGGACTATCGCTCCCTCTGCCTTGCCGCTATCATCCTTTATTTACTTACCCGATCCCAGTGCTGATGTCCCTCGGCGCTGAGTCACGGCTCTGCCTCCTCTGACAAGCGGGCGCTAATGTGCACGTGCGGCTAGTACTACGTGCACATTAAGTCGCCCTATAGGAAAGCATTGAATCAATGCTTTCCTATGGGGAAATAGCGGATGCTGGATGTCCTCATGCAGAGCGTGAGCTCGTCCAGCGTCAGTAACTGGACCAAAAAAGTCCATTAGGATCCAGGAAGAACCTCCAGTGGCTATGTCTCCCAACCAGTGTCCCTGGTGTCTCAGTGTCCCCATGTCTCCCAGTGTCCCCATGTCTCCCAGTGTACCCAGGAGACATGGGGACAAAGAGACATGGGGACACTGGGAGACATGGGTCACTGAGACACTGTGATACATAGTCTTAGTGTCCCCAAGTGTCTCAGTGTCCCAATGTCTGATAGTATCCCCTAGTGACATGGGGACACTGGGAGACATGGGGACACAGACACTACGGGACAATGGGGGACATGGGGACATAGCGAGACACTGGGAGCAATCCATCTATACAGCAGAATTTCACAGAATTCTCTCTGTCACTCCTTGTGATTTACATCATATGATGTCACACATACATAATTAGTTATGCAAATGAGTAAGGCCTGTATTTTTTCCAAGAAAGGTGGCAACCCTAACTACTCTTCACATACTCTTGCTTAAGTATGGAAACTTAAGAGACAAAACTTGTGTGGAAACAAAACTTGTGTGGACTGGCTGAAATGAAATTAGTTAAGGTAATGCTGACTTTGGTCTCTCTAACACTGTGGCATGTTCCCTTTCTTCTACACTCACTACATACACCTTTTCTCTGTCTCAGACTGTATACCAGGAGCTTCTGTCTGCTAGTAAGAAGGTAAGGAGACAAGTGGACATGTGAGTGCTAGGGGATAGTCCTTAGAAAGCATGGAGCGAGTCCATCATTAGACGCATTTATGCCAAGCTCAGAATGCTGTTGGCCTGCATGCATGATTGGCAGGCAGCCTGACATGCATTCATGCCAGGCAAGCCTTCCCATTCTTTGGGCAGACACACCTCCTTTTTGGGCATGTTCAGCCCTTTTGGAAGTTCTGGTTACATGATCCGCGTCAGTGGCCCACCCTTTTACACCTCCCATTGACTTCCTGCTTCATTGGACACTGATGTTGGGGGGTATGGATTTACATGAAAGATGAAAGCATGAACTAGAGAGAGATTAGTATATTTTAAGAGAATCTGAGTTTCCTTATAGCGGCATCCTATGAGTTTCCTTCCGGCAATCTCCACCAGATACATAACGCTTGAGAGCTATGACTGTTTTAGTGTTTATGGTCGATAAGATTCTGTACTTAGGCCACTCATAATTGTCAGCACCAGGCCCACTGGGCCCTTAATCTGGCCCTGTGTAGGGGATGTGTTATGTAAAGTGTGTGCTTATGGAATGTAGTGTTTAGGGATACCAGTTTGTAATGCAGTGTGTGTGTGTGTGTGTTGTGGAAGCAGTGTGTTTTTGTGTAAGGGATAGAAAGCAGTGTGTGTTTGTGTATAAGGGATGTGTTGTGTGTAAGGGATGCATTGGATAAATCTGTGTTTAAATGTGTAAGGAATGCAAGGTGTGTTTCTGTGTATGTAAGGGATGTAGTGTGTTTGCCTGTGTGTGTAAGTGAAGCAGTGTGTTTTTGCGTGTGTAAGGGATGCATTGTGTGTTTCTGTGTATATGTGCAAAGGATGCATTGTCTGTGTGTAAGGGTTGCATTTAGTGTGTGTGTAATGGATGCATTGTGTGTTTCTCTGCGTGTAAGGGAAGCATGTTGTGTTTCTAGTGTTTAGGATACTAATACAGACTCTGACAGCCATCCCTTCCCCATTAATACGTGACCTCTGACAGCCAGTCCTTCCATTAATACGGACCCTGAAAAAGCCATCCCCTTCCCTCTATTAATACGGACTTGACAGCCAGTCCCTTCCCATTAATAGACGCACTCTGACAGCCAGTCCCTCCACACATTACATGACTTGACAGCCAGCCCCTTCCCATTACTACATGACTCCTGACAGCCAGCCCCCTTCCCCATTAATACGTGACCCTGACAGCCATCCCCTTCCCCATTAATACGTGACCCTGACAGCCATCCCCTTCCCCATTAATACGTGACCCTGACAGCCAGTCCCTTCCCCATTAATACGTGACCCTGAAAGCCATCCCCTTCCCCATTAATACGTGACCCTGACAGCCAGCCCCTTCCCCATTAATAGACGACCCTGACAGCCAGCCCCTTCTCCATTAATACATGACTGACAGCCAGCCCCTTCCCCATTAATACATGACTCTGACAGCCATCCCCTTCCCCATTAATACGTGACCCTGACAGCCAGTCCCTTCCCCATTAATAAAAATGTACCTGACAGGCATCCCCTTCCCCATTAATAAATGTACCTGACAGCCATCCCCTTCCCCATTAATAAATGTACCTGGCAGCCAGCCCCTTCCCCATTAATAAATGTACCTGGCAGCCAGCCCCTTCCCCATTAATAAATGTACCTGACAGCCATCCCCTTCCCCATTAATAAATGTACCTGACAGCCAGCCCCTTCCCCATTAATAAATGTACCTGGCAGCCAGCCCCTTCCCCATTAATAAATGTACCTGACAGCCAGCCCCTTCCCCATTAATAAATGTACCTGGCAGCCAGCCCCTTCCCCATTAATAAATGTACCTGGCAGCCAGCCCCTTCCCCATTAATAAATGTACCTGACAGCCATCCCCTTCCCCATTAATAAATGTACCTGACAGCCAGCCCCTTCCCCATTAATAAATGTACCTGGCAGCCAGCCCCTTCCCCATTAATAAATGTACCTGACAGCCAGCCCCTTCCCCATTAATAAATGTACCTGGCAGCCAGCCCCTTCCCCATTAATAAATGTACCTGGCAGCCAGCCCCTTCCCCATTAATAAATGTACCTGACAGCCATCCCCTTCCCCATTAATAAATGTACCTGACAGCCAGCCCCTTCCCCATTAATAAATGTACCTGGCAGCCAGCCCCTTCCCCATTAATAAATGTACCTGACAGCCAGCCCCTTCCCCATTAATAAATGTACCTGGCAGCCAGCCCCTTCCCCATTAATAAATGTACCTGGCAGCCAGCCCCTTCCCCATTAATAAATGTACCTGACAGCCATCCCCTTCCCCATTAATAAATGTACCTGGCAGCCAGCCCCTTCCCCATTAATAAGAGACCCTGACAGCCATCCCCTCGCCCTGGTTTCCTCCCCTGTGTATAGACCCCATTCCCAGGCTCTCTCTCTCTCTGTCCCAGCCCTGGGATATGGCGCTAGAGCCGGCCTGCTCTCACCCTCTCATGGTGAATTTGACCACACTCAGCCTGGACCCTGCTGCACTCAGCTCCGCCTGGAACTCGGCGTCCACTCCGATCACCTTCACTCCCACCATATCGCAGGCCGTCAGTCAGCTCTCCCGGCCTTCCTCGCAACCGGCCGCAGCAGCTCTCTTTCGCTCTCCCTTCCTACCGGCAGATTCACTTTGTGCCGCGTCACGCCGGGCCTTGATTACGGCTGCTGCCCACAACACACCGCGGTAACGTGCGACACCACGTGATGCCCAGGGAAGCGCTCGCCGTCATCTTACTTTCTGGCAATGTCATCCCACAGGCGGGACCACGTGACCCACTGCTAACACCAAGGCTTACAGTGTGCTACAGCCCTGTGTATGGGGCACCATGGGTCACTGCCAGAGTGATGGATTGCTCTGTATTAATGTCACCATAATCCACAGCACTGTGTCACCGGGGGAATAAAGCTGAGACCATGACAAAAACCTTTAAACAATGGTTAATGGACCCTCTACTCAGGGCAACCATTTAAGGGTTACTCCAACCACCATAGCCACTACAATGGTTTAACCCCTCGAGGACCAAACTTCTGGAATAAAAGGGAATCATGACATGTCACACGTCATGTGTCCTTAGTGGTCATGGTGGTAGGAGTGAGTTTGTGCAGTGTTTCAGCTAAAAACCCTGCACATACTGAGTAATTGGTAATTGTGTGCATACTTTGTCAGACATGATAATCTTACCCTTACAGAATTGGTTCCCCTTTCCATCCTGTAGGTATTCTCTCCACTGCTTTTTTATTTATTTTTTTAAATGTCAATTAAATTCTACCTACTACTTCCCCCTTTACTGGCTCAGATTGCACACAGCACCACTGTACTGTAATAAATTAAAGGACCACTATAGTGCCATACTCGTTTTCCTGGCACTATAGTGCCCTGAGGGTGCCCCTTCCCACCTGGCTCTGGGAAGAGGAAAGGGTTAAAACTTACCTTTTTTTTTCAGCGCTGGGCGGGGAGCTCTCCGCCTCCTCTCCTCCCTTTCGGCTGAATGCGCACGCGCTTTCCTATGGACGCTGGCGTGTTCTCACTGTGATTTTCACAGTGAGAATCACGCAAGCGCCTCTAGCGGCTGTCAATGAGACAGCCACTAGAGGATTTGAGGGCTGGATTAACCCATTTATAAACATAGCAGTGGGAGTAAAAAAGAAACTCCAGGCACCATGACAAATTAATGAAGTACTGATGCTTAATATAACCCTTTAAAATGTTACAAATCGATATGAACAGAATTTAAATGCCATAAAAAAAAATGTTGCAATAGCTTCATGAATTCAAACCAGCATGTTTTCTCTTCATTTAGTCTAAATGCTGAGTGTTACATGAGAACTGGCCAGGAAGTGTATTTTCTAATAAGCGATCCTCGTGTTTGGCTATAATATCATACACGCGCTGGAAATTTTGCCCACACCAAAGATGTCCGCTATGCGCTTTTCGTACGCTTTTGACGTAATTGCTGCTGCCGTCGACAATTTTTTCTTTTTTTTTGTATCAAACTTTATTGACACGAACAAATGTGGACATCAGCTGCTAAATCGGTGTAAGGAAACGAAAAGTGCGTGAAGCTGCTTTCCCTGCTGACTCCTCTCCACCTCCCCGGTTATTCTTTGCGACACAAGGCCGTAAAGTGCAGATTGGTCGCCATAGAGACAGTCAGCTGGTGGATTGGGGGCAGAGGTGGTCGGGGGAAGAGCATCAGTTGCTTCATCATATTTGAAGGTAGCGGGCAGGAGGTGAGTCACACGGTCTCTGGACCCCAAACATGATCGCTGCTTAGTAAATAGCGCATGTGGCGAGTTCTGTATTGGTTGCCCTCTGTGTTTACCTACCTACAGGGCTGAATCTGGGGCCACTGTGCAATTTGTCACTTTATGTGGGTGGATTTTGGACATTTATACGAATAAGAAGGTTTTCTTTCCCAAATGTGTCTGCTATATGTTTACTGAAACTCATATGTTCCTGTTTCAGATATTTAATACATGATGGTAATAAAAACTGTTTGGGTGTGTGGAGACTCTTAAAGGAACAATTCCAGCACCATAACCACTACTGTATGGTGCAGTGGTTATGGTGCCACTTATTGTAACGTTTTGACTCCTTACCAGGGATCTGCCAGCCACCGCTCTCTGCCTCCACTACGTTAAATGGAAAGCTGGAAGCTCATTGCTAAAAGGCTGAGATTGAGATTAAAAAGCTAATGCTCTCGGTCCGTGAGCTAGCATGTACTGGACTTCGCTCAAGAGAGCTAGGAATAAAAGCGCCTAGGCTAGAGCTTCTGGCTCTCTTTTGGATGAAGTGGAGTTGGAGAGCGGCAGGCGACGCACCCCAGGTAGAAATTATAGTTACATGGTGGGTTGGATGGTGTGCGCGTGCTTTAGTGGTTATGGTGCTTGACATGTTCTTTTCAAACACTGGAGGTTTATGGGAAAAGTAGGTTTGTCCCAATCATAACATTGAGTGATGGAAACTGTTCTGAAATGGATAAAAGGTATACTTTGGCCACTATCTTTTTAAAGGGACACCAGTCACCTGAACTACTTCAGCTTAATGTTGTGGTTCTGGTGTCTATAGCTTATCATTGAAGAATGAGCACTGTAAACGCTGCCTTTTCAGGAAAAAAAGGCAGTGCTTACATTGCTGCCCAGTAACCCCTTTAGTGGCAGTCACTCAGAAGACCACTAGAGATGCTTCCTCGTCCAGTTCAAATATGCAATACCTACGTTAAGCGTCTCCACACTCTGCATGTAGGCACTAAACGTTAACCGTAGAGAAGCATTGTTTTACTGCATCTCTATAAGGAGATGGTAATCTTTCGTATGGGATAGCACTGGATTGGCTGAGATTATCAAGATGATGATTTCAGCCATGGAGATGGGGCCAGCTGCAGTCTTACCATGGCAGTCCACCACTCAACTCTTTATACTAGCATAGGCAGAGCTCAGTTTAATTTCTTCCGATGGACTCTAAGTTTGACAAAATTGATCGGAACTGCGAATCCTGGACACCTGATAGGCAGGCCAGAGGGGCAGAGTTAGAGCTGTAGTGATTTGAGTCATTATGTTCATGGGCTATGTTTACCTTCACCATTGCAAACATACAAAGTTGTGGTGGTGCTGTGCAAGGCCATTTAAAGGAACACTCCAGGCACCCAGATCACTTTTGCCTGTTGGAGTGGTCTGGGTGCCAACTCCCATCACCCTTAATCCTGCAAGTGTAATTATTGCAGTTTTTATAAACTGCAAAAATTACCTTGCATGGTTAAGTCCTTCTCTAGTGGCTGTCTATCAAACAGCCACTAGAGGGACTTCTGTGTTCTTAAAACACCAAAAGTGATTTAAACGATGCAGGACGTCCTCACGCTATGCATGAGGACTTCTAGCGTCGCTGAAATCCCCATAGGAAAGCATGGGGAGGTCTAATGCGCGGCCATTGCTGCGTATGCGCATTAGGTCTCTCCTGCCAGCTGATGTCGGCTGAGGAGGAGCGTGGGTGGAGCCTGACCCAGTGCCGAGTGAAATCAGCGCTGGATTTAGGTAAGTCACTGAAGGGGTTTTGGTTGGTTAACAAATTTGTTTTCCTTGCACTGGAGAGTCCCTTTAATACACGTAATTGTATTTGTGAATGAAGAGATCACTTCACTTAGATTACATTTCTTAAATTTAATGTAGTCTCTTCTTACATTACATTGTGGTATTTGTTAATTTTATTCCCTCCATCCACATCAAGGTTACCAAAATGTAAACTAGTCTATAGATGGGAAAAAAAAAAAACCCCAAGCCTCTTTTCCCTGAAAATTTGAAAGAAAAAAAAAACATGGAATATGGTCTTTTACAATTGTAAATAATAATTATCACATGCTGCTCATAAATGTAAATCTTCAATGTTATTTCTAAAATTTTATATAACTTGAAAAACATTTATAAAAGACTTATGAGACTTTATTTATAAACTCAAATCACTGCAATTCCTGTACCCTGAAGACAAGCAAATCATGGATTACAAAAAACGACCAGCGATTTCCAAATACTTAAAAAAAAACCATTTTTTTTTTTTCAAATGCTACCTGGATGGCGAAAAACATAATTGTATGTTAGAGGTGTACTAAAGACATTAAAAGAGGCTTTTAAGGGACACGGTAGTCATTATATCAGCTTCATCTGATTGAAGTGGTTATAGTTTCTGGAGTCGCCTGGTGCTGTCCTTTCATTCACCATTAAAAAAAAACCCCCTTTTTTAATGCTAAATGAGAGCCCCAGCAACCCATCCCCTCTGTGCTGCTTGGGCCAACGAAGATGTATTAGCTTGATCAGCAATGGACAGCTGTGATTAGCAGAGTGTCAGCTGACTACTTTTGGCTTATCATCGCTCCCATTGCCGTTTTGAATTGGTATGACCACAAGGAAGTGTGTAATCTCTGCCTGAGCCACACCTTCAGTAGGGGTTGGACTGTGGTTGGCCAATAACCTTTATTTAGTATTAAACTGCTTGAAAATGGTTTATCATTTAATGGAGGGACAGTAGCAGGGGACTTCAAGCACTATAACCAGTTCAGAGAGATTAAATGGTTATAGTGATTAGTGTCCCTTTAATGCATGAATGGGGAACCTTTGGCACTGTTTTGGACTACATCACCCATCAGGGCTGGTGCAAGGATTTTTGCCACCCTAGGAAAACAAATTTGCCGCCCCTCATATGCTCTGCCCACCATGTGAAATCACAATGCCCCACCCATATGAGCCAACACCAGTGCTGCACACAGTGTCTTTTCTCTGAAAAGGCAGTGTGTTTACATTAAAAAGCCTGCAGGGACAGCCCATGGACACCAGAACCACTACATTAAGCTGTAGTGGTTCTGGTGACTATAGTGTCCCTTTAATGTGAGGTAAATTAGAGATTTGCGCCACTAACAAAATACTGGATTGCCTACTTACCACCAGATGAGGACAAGAGGATGATGATGAGCTCAGGCCGCAGCCTGGCTCCACTGGTCTGGTGTTAAAACAGGCTCTCTGGAGGCAGTGCTCAAAAATATCAATGAACAGGAACCAGCTCAATTTTCTGGGGCCCCTTACAGGGCCTGACCGTGAAATGTCTGCAAGGCCTGCCCATAAGCCTTATGTCTTCAAGGCTGGCCCATGAATTCGCTCACAGGGAGTGGAGTGTATGTGTGTAGTGGATGTGTTATGTGTTATTGTAGAGGATGTAATGTGTGTGTGTGTGTGTGTGTGTGTGTTCTTATGGAATGTAGTGTATAGGAATACCAGTTTGTGTAAGGAATGTAGTGTGTGTGTGTGTGTGTGTGTGTGTATGTATAGGGGATGCATTGTGTGAATCTGTATTTTGTATGTGTAAGGATGCAAGGTGTGTGTTTCTGTGTATGTATGTATGTAATGTAATGCAGTGTGTGTAAGAGGGCATTGTGTGTGTAAGGGATGCATTGTGTGCTTCTGTGTATGTGTGCAAGGGCTGCATGGTGTGTGTGTGTGTGTGTGTGTGTGAGGTATGCATGGTGTGTGTGTAAAATGCATTGTGTGTGTAATGGATGCATTCTGTGTGAGTATGGGATGCATTGTATGTTTTGGTGTCTCTGTGTGTAAGACCCTTAATGATCTCTTTCACTCCCCCGTCCCCTAGTGGTCTCATCTCCTGTCCCTTAGAACTCTCCCCTCACCTCCTGTCCCTTAGAACTCTGCCATCCTGTCCTTTAGTGTTCTCCCCTCCCCTCCTGTCCCTAA